AATGTTGTAACTGCCTTGTTGAGATCAATCTGGCCTTCGATGTCCACAGTTCTGCTCCTTACAAAGACTGCTTCACAAGATGCAGTGAATTACCAATCTGGAAATTGGAAAACAGAAGCACAACAAAGCTTGTGTTGGAAACATGTTTTCAACTCCTTAACGACCAGTGTGTGCCCTCTCCTGAATACCTGTCATCATGGACTTCTGATAGAAAGAAGACTATTTCAGAACCGAAAAGCTCTGCTGCATGATGACTCACTTTGCTGACTCATGCACTATTGCAGATCGAATCTAGCCATTCAACTTTTATATAAACTGCAAAAATATTTAAAATGTTACTTTGAAAATCATTTTATCGTTTTACTTTTTGATAAAGGGCTCTCAATAAAATGACACTTACATAGAGCACAAACAAAGACAAATGATGCTGTACTTTAAAGTCTGTATGTCACTTGACTGACAGACTTATAGCTGCACAGATGCACTAACTGATGACACTATGTGACATCATGAACACTGGAAAATCCACTCTGGATAATTGTCCAATCCCATGTATCCCAGAATGCCCCTGAAGCTGCAATACTATCACTAACACGTTACAAACACATTACTAGCCACCTAAATATAGCACATGACTCGTGCTCAAGTGACTATTATATCCACGAATAACACTAAAGCATAATTACAAAACCGTGTGACACACAATTAACTTCATAAGAATTGTCTGACCGTGTGTAATGTAAATCTGTTAATAATCTGCTCTATTCACAGCTCTTGTTGCACAGCTAGTTGAGAGAAGGACATGTCGAAGGTGAATGAAGGATTGAGTCCAGGGTGTCTGCGCCGCAGGACCCTCAATCCCAGACCAGCCACGCAGACTGTCGAGCCTGCCAAGCTGCGCTCAGCGACTGTGCTCGCTTGCAGCTGACCCAGAGGGCACGCCGGCCGCAAACGCGGAGGGAATTTGCCTATCACAGGGAAGTTTCAGCTTCCAAATGCCCCCTTTCATTCTGTTCGTGCGGCATCTGACTTTGCTCGTCAGACAAGTTGAGGTTCGGCACCAGGAGCTGCACGTTGTCAGTTAGGAAATCTGTTTGACGCGATTTACATTTTCCTCTTTTCCAAACCTGCTTGGCAAGCAGAACTCTTTATAGTTCTGACAGGTCGTTTCATGTTGCCTTTGTTTTCGTGAAACCCGCCTCCCGATTTCTATTTTGTCTTAGAAAGGACCCTTTTTTTTAAAAAAAAAGAAAAATAATTTATAAATGTCAGTATTTTTGCTGGCGTATGTGGATTTAAAGGGCCTATTATAACCAATAAAAATTGTCAAATACATTTGAAAAAAAATTTCCTTTGCTTCTTCATAAGCTTTGATATGAATTAAGTCACCTTCATTGGTATGTAGCAAGAAGTATACTTTTTCACAAACTAAAAACAATGTGTGAATGGTATGCTGCTCTGCTGTAGGAGCATGATGGTGTGGCAGCACTATTGTCTCAGAACTCCAGGGTTCAATTCCAGTTTGGGATTTATGTCTGTGTGGAGCCTGCATGCTCTCCTGGGGGGGGACGTGGGTTTTTTGCCGGGAGTTCCACTCCCAAAGACATACAGGTTAGATTTGATTCGCTGCTCTGCTGCAAGTTTGTGGAGAGAGGTTTCAAGGGCGTTTGATTCTTCGACAGGGGGTTGATCACAGTACTAGCTCTGTGACTAGCGAGAATTAGATCCGAATGAGGATGAAAAATTAAAGAACAAAGTTGGTCATGTCCGCGTTTCAGGCGTCTTGAAGCCTTTACTCCCGACCCTATAGCATCTGTCCTCTCTCTCGCTCCCCCTAGTGCAGAATTTAGGAACTGCAGGACAGCTCGTGATCTAGAACGGCCATTACAATGGCTATGGTAGCAACGACCGGTCAACTGATAGGGGACGCAGGCATGCACACACCTCAACCTTTCCACACGGTTTTTGAGGGCCAAGGGTTAAAGGCCTTTCAGGTTGCCAGTTTCACAGGAAATTAATATCCAACCTTAAAGCTTATTTGCAGATTATAAAAATAAAAGCCCAGTCGGTTTTAAATTAAAGTGAACAGGAAAACAATACCACAAAGATGTACATTCATTAGGCCATATAAAATAAATTACTACAGTATTACAAATTACCATATTGGACAGACTTGAGATTTTGAAGGGCATTCTTCCATCCTTAACACTCGCCTTCTCAACATCTTGAAAAAGTATGGTTGAGAGGAAATACACACAAAGGTGAACAGAGCCCCTCTCCTAACAAGAAAGACTGATAAAGTAAAAAGAAGTTACTATTTAAAGACATCTGAAACTGGCAGCCCACTGAAGCTAAGCAGGTGTGAGCCTGGTCAGTACCTGGATGGGAGACCTCCTGGCAAAAACTAAGGTTGCTGCTGGAAGTGTTGTTAGTGGGGCCAGCAGGGGGCGCTCACCCTGTAGTCTGTGTGGCCCTCATCACTGTAAAAAGATGGGGACACTATACTGTAAAATGGCACCGTCCTTCAGATGAGACATAAAACTGAGGTCCTGACTCTCTGTGGTCATTAAAAATACCAGGGTGTTTCTCAAAAAGAGTAGGGGTGTAACCCCGGCGTCCTGGACAAATTTCCCATTGGAAATCATAGCCTTCTAATAATCCCCATCTATAAATTGGCTGCATCACTCTGTTCTACACATTGGTGGTGGTGGAGGGGTGTCTCCATTACCTGTAAAGCGCTTTGAGTGGAGTGTCCAGAAAAGCGCTATATAAGTGTCTGAGCCGAGGAGAAATGTCATGGGGCTGATCTGAACATTAAAAATGTAATTACCAGGTTTGTTGCTTTGACCAGTGTGACTGAGCTGAGTACTGTGTTTGGTCCTATTTTCCTTACAAAGCATGATTGAGCAGCTGAACTGAAACAACCTTCAATTAGAGGTGCTTGCTACTTTAATTATGTTTCTACTTCTGCAAAGGCACAGCACTCATGATTAAAGGTCAATCCATCCATTTTCTAACCACTTTATCAAGGTCAGGGTTGTGGGGGAGCCAGAGCTCATCCCAGCAAGCAATGGGACGCCAGTCCATTATAAGACAGACATAGGCACTCACACCAGACCCAGTTTTCCCAGGAGCAGTTAAACTACTAGTATGTCTTTGGACTGTGTGAGGAAACTGGAGCAGCCAGAGGAAACCCACGCAAACACAGGGAGAACATACAAACTCCTCGCAGATAGCACCCCAGCAATTGAGGTCATTGCACTGTGAGTTCACAATGTCAACCACTGAGCTACCATGCTGCTCATAGGCACAGATATCCCTGAAAAAGATTAAAGTGACGTACCCAGGGGGTAGGTATCATCTTTTTTGTCAGTGCCACTTTTCACAGCAAGCACAGGGGGAAGAACTGAGACTCAAAGAAACCAGAATTTTGCTGTGGAGAATATTATACAAATATGAGAGCAAACTTTCCTCCTCTTACGACAGGAATAAAATATATATGTCATTAGAGGAATGGCGGTTGCTATTTGTACCAATATTTCAATATAAAAACAGATGAAAACTGAAGAAAACCACACTCCATATGATAGCCTTAATTGCAATAATAATACATGCAATTAAAAACTACTTTGCACACTACAGCTCAAAGTGGAATGATGCAGATTGATTGTAAGAGCTACAGGGGTGCTGAGTGATGTCTGGCTGTGGAGCAGGAACAATAGGCAGGCTCTGCAGCATCACCAGTGTTTCTTACTTTGCACACTGAAGTGAGCCCTCACAGCCTGTCATAACCTGACACAGGTTTAACTATGCAAGATGTGGAGTAATGCTGAACAGTTGCCCCTGCACTGCTCTATGGCATGAATAACTGGGTGGGAAAATCATACTAGTGTCATACAGACTTTTAGTTAATACATTAGCATTCAGTAGGTGAGATATTCAGTCTCCTGCCCATTTCCAGTGAAAAGCTTTCAGATACTTTCATATAAACATGTGCTCTCCTTCTATTTTTAAAAAGTCAGGTTGTGATGTCAGTCAGCCTCTCCTTCCAATGTGGTTACTTCTTGTATCTGTACAAATCTCCAGATGACACATCTAAATTGGAGCTATGGAAAATCCACAGACTGCAGTGTGTTGATCTGTTTGAGGGACTTCAAGGTGGGCATGCAGAGGAATCTTCCAACAGAAGATTCCAGATCAGGTTGGGTATAACAACAAAATAAATGGAAACTCTTAATTTTTAAAAAGAGCATTATTCACAACTTAACCTCAATAGCCCTCAATAATTTGATTGCACCTTTGGAACATCAATTGATGCAAAGCCCTTTTACATAAAGCAGAAATCTAAGCCTGTCTATCCCCCCAAAAAAACTATACACAATGAGCTTCTGCCTTTTGGGATGGCTAGAATATCTCAAACCAATTCTATAAAACTGCAACTGATGACAACGTACTGCAGCTCTGTACCCTGCACTCAGCTGGTGGTCCGTGGCTCTATAACTTTAACAACTGACAGAAGATGAGTTAAATCATAACTTTGCAAATATATTATGTTTTGATTTTTATTCTCACTGGAGACATACTTTTTATTTATGTTGGAGCCAGCATGTTCCGGCTAATAAAATGATGAAAGGGATTCTCTGACATTAAGTTTAATGATTTCTGACTGGCATCATCACAGTGCTAGTGGCAGCAATGAATTTTAAAACGGATTCAGAGGTTTTTCTTTTTTCAACTATCTGAATGATTGATCCATTTTCTTTGAAAGGTCTGGCCTCTGGTTTATTTGGACCACTATTTATTACAGATAATGACTGTAAATAAATACTATGAATGATTGTTCTGGTAATAATGCAACTGTATTGAAGTGGTTAGAATTACACTGTATTAAGAAAGATGTGAATTTCTTTTGAGTTTTTGTATTTCAAGGAATAGCCGTAATATTAACCTGCTCATTTGTAACCGTCAATGTGACCTGAAGGTTTCACCCTTAGCCAAAAGCAGTTATTAAGCTGATCAACGTGGTATTAAAAATGCAGATACCTTTAAAATTTGCTATGTTAATATATTTCATTTATTTAGGACCTCACACTAAGACTAGTTTATTTAGCACCAGATATACTTCAACCTAAGGAAGTCACTTACTGTATGAAAGCCAACACACAGAACAATGCAGTTCACAAACACTGAAGCTGAACAATATGCTGAACTCATACACAGTACAGAATAATCAATTAAAATCTGATAAAACAATGCTACAGCTGTGACAATGCAATTTTGATTTTTTTAAAAACTCAAAGAAAAGTCTGCTGTTGATTTTTTTTAGCCATGTAATAAAATGATTTCAAGAAAGGCTGGTCAAGTCTGTACTGTCTACTAGTCTTTCTCAGCTACTCTGAGCAAGACATGTACTGTATATAAGACAACTAAGCCCCGCTGCACAAAGAACTGCCATAGCAGGTAGCAGTGTAGCAAGCTGCATGAACCTGAAAGCCACAGTTTTAAGAAAACATCTAAGGAACTTTGATGTTGTCTCATTTAGCTGAGATATATACAGTATGTTTTTTTTAGATGTGCTTTGATGTTATCCATATTTCATTTCATTTCTTGCTACAAAGGACAAAGATGGAGAACAAGAACTTTTAGCCTGAAATACTGAAGCAGGCATGAATAGTGAACTCAGGTACCCTGAAACAAAACAAAACTAACTGTGAAAGACAGAATAACATACAATAACACATGTTCAAGAAGACACTAAGTTTTTGGGGGGAAATCCTTGCTGTTGGGTTGTGATCTTTATAATTTCTTTAAAGCAGCAGCATTTTTTTTCTCGTTTGTCCGTGTAAGTGCTGAGGATGTTCACAGCTGTCTCATTTTATTTTATAACACGTGAAAAATAGCCTGGAGTGATCATGTTTATTTTCTGGGATTCGCTACATAAAACCTGCCACACGCTGAAATTAAAAATAAAAATCCAAGCATACTGAATATCCGAGGAGGAGAATCTTAAAAAGAAAACACAATTAGCATTAACTATTATTAGAGCAAACAAAGAGACTGTCAATGAACATGTGTCTACAAGATTCCTGCTGCTTTCTTCTCCATGTTGCTCCTTGAATGTCAAATGAGTGAATATCTCATCAGAATTTCTGGTTTACCAAATGAGTTCAATCAATCACCAGCCAGTGCTGAGCTTCCAGGCACACAGCTTGTCTAGTCTCCCATGCTGGCAGACCAAGCAATGCGAAGTGTCCCCCGTTAATCTCTTTACTCCTCTCAGCTGCCCGCCACCTCTCGTTTCAGTCTCTCAAGAACATCTTCCGGGCTTATAGAACCTGAAATCTTGACTATCTTTTCTCTTGACTTGCACCCCTGTTCAGAAAAATAGGAAGAACTTTAAAAACCACATCAGGTGGGGGGGGGGAGAAGAAAATGTTCTGAAGCCTTAATTTAAATGTCTGAACACAAAACAAGCAGCAGGATACTTTGGAGTAAACAGCAAAGGGTTATTAGCAAAATCTGCACTGTTCCTCTAACATAAGTCTATGGCTATGGCCAGCATGTTGAGTTTTTGACATCCTGTTTTTTTTGGCAGTGATTCATTCTGCCATTTTCAAGACATCACAGCCTTCTACCAAAACATGTAATGAGCCAACATTTAAATTATTCTCCCACAAAGTATGCAATTAGCTGAATAATAAACACTGCTGCAGACAGTTATAGACACTTACGTAACCTTACGTGTCCTTGTGAATGAGCGCAATATAACTGGATTTTAAACACAATTCTGTACATATGTTTTGTTTTTAGCTACCAGTATCCCTGATAGATTATTTTGACATGCATGATTATAATTGTTACTGTAACAAGTATCTATTGTTATCCATTGTTACTTAAACCACTTGTAAAATAAAATTAACTTCCTTCATAACTAAGTCTCAGCAATTCCAAATCTATAATTACACAAAAAAGGAGATGGTTATTATTATTGTTTCAATATCACTATTGTGTACACCATTTCTGGCTAGGATCCCTGAACATTATAGTTAACAAAATGTTAGTTAAATGTTAACTAAGTGCAGTCCATACATTCTTAATAAAAGAGTAACTTTAATATTTATAGGCTTATGAACATGATGGAAACATAAAACATTGATAAAAAAGTTCATATTATTTTTGTTTAAATAAAATACATGTTCTTGCACATAATAATTGGCAAAGGTTTCAACTAAGGTTACAACAAAGGCAATTCTGCTCTTCAAGCCTGTTAGAACAAACAAGATAATAGACAACTGATTGGAGGCCTTCAGTCAACAGTGGGAAAAAAAGTCAGGGTATCAGCTTCCACAACATGGCTAGAGCTCATTTCTGACTCTCATAACCCACCGGACTTTGGTTCTTGGTTTTAAATGCTTTTTAATGAAGTTTCTCTACTTCTGTCCTCTGTGTTTCTCTGTTGGTTTTGAGGACTTCCATTGGGATGACTTTGGTCTACTGTATGTCATGAAAGATTTCAAATGCTTATTTGAACAACTTTGAACAACCCTAATTGCTCATAGTCTTTACTACCAAGTACAAGTCAAATCACCTGTTTTTTCTGTAATTGAAGCACCTGTAAGACCCACAGGTTCCAAGCTCTGAGGAGCTAACCTGCCCTTTCTTGTCACAGAGAAAGAAGTACAAAAAAACCTCACCACCTCACAGCCGTCAGAATTCATGTGTCTAGTGTTAAAAGTATTGCAAGAATGCAATGTCATTTGAATAGTGCTCTTATTTCCTAACAATTTCCCAGAAGAGCCAAGATGAGACAGCCAGACTCGGCACATGGCTGGTCTGTGCTAGATTTCTGAGTGCAGAGCTCAACGAGGGTAAGGCTGAAAAAAACACTCTGGCTCTGAAATGTAAGTCCAACAGATTGCAACTCTGACTTGAACAAGCTGTCACTCATTAATCATCATTATTTAGCTGTATAACCACCTTTCCAGTTTGAGAACCCATTTTGTGCAGGCAATTAAAAGCACCGAAAACTGTTTAAGTACATAATACGTAAGAATAGGTAGTCTAAATATAGGTAATATAGGTATAATATAGGTATAGGTATAATAGGTAATATCTAAAGGAATTTATTTTTTTAAGAATTAAATTTTGTCTCGTTGTTTTTACCCACCCTGTCCAAAACCACCTCGCTTCTCTTCAGTTCCAGCACCTTGGATAGATACCGAACCAGCTCTGCGTTCGCTTCCCCGTCTGATGGTGGTGCAGCTATAGCGACCCCTACTGCCTCTGTGGAGACATCTTGTACAAACAGAAACCGAGAATTGGTTGAATAAAATCGTTTTCATGGACATCTGTAGAAATCGCTTTGTAACAGTATTAACGATTTACGATGACGAAGGCCGTACCGGTGATGGCATTTTGTTTAGCACCCGGCTTCGCATGTACAGCGATAGAAATCAAGCCGATTTTATCCCGGGTTACAGGACCCGAGGGTGATTCAGCTGGTTTTGGGGTATTTTTGACCTGAAAAAAGAAAACACACCAAATTAACTGTTTAAAAGAAAACAAAGTATGTTTAAATGATAGTCAAAGGTTATTGTATTTTTAAATCCTCGCTGTTTGGTGGTGGTGTTATTATTTTCCTTTTAAAGCATAATACTTTGTAAGTCTATTACAAAGTTAAATTTGGTTAAATTAGGTAAGGAAAGTTGAACGACAGTCTATGTGTCGCTACTGTGAGGGCTGCTCAATTTCAATATTTTATCAAATGTTTTAAGTACCCTACAGTGTTCGTATTTCATTTTGTTGAAACAACTTGGGACGAAGATTAGTTGGGTTCCAGCTCGTTGAAGAAATAGCTGCGGATCCCAAATAATGGATACAGGCGAAATCGATGGAAGTGAAGTCTAGTTGTGTTTTAACCTGTTTAACTCCACTACTTATAATTAATCTGTAAATCAGATAAATTCGCGGTATACGTCGCCCTACCGTTTTATTTTTCTTCGGCATTTCGCTATTGCCGGGCGAGCGTCTTGCCCGTATGTCTTTGGGAGGAAAGATCGTTCTCTTCCCGACGTTACTGAACTTGCAAGGCCGGGCGAGTAATAAGAAAATCCGGGGATGTTGCAGGCCTCCCCTTTTTGTGGTAAAAAAATGATAAAGTAAACGGTTACGAAAAAAGTAAAATGAAATGGGTGTCAGTGTATTCATCTAATCATTAATGGCCTATCACTAAGATTAACATTTTAACATATTATTTTAAAATCCACACAAAGAAAACAAAGTTACCAACGCGAACACAAACAGTACGTATCGCACATGCGCAAAAACTGTTAGATTACAGGTTGACGTCGTTCTATAATCTCTTTGATGTTGTCCATAACTGAAAATTAATTATAATAAAAATATGGGCTTTTTTGTTTCAGAAAGGAGGTAATAATGTGGGTTTTTTGTTAATTGACGATTGCAGTTTTGTAAGAACATATCCTTTTCAAGATTGCATTCACCCTCTAGTCGGGGTCTGTTCAAAGTAATCTTTTAACAATTTCTTCAATGTAGGTAATTTAACAGTAATCATAAATCATAAAGGCAAAAAAAAAAACATTATAGTATCCTATTGATTTCAGAGTCAGTGAATTCAATTTGAATTATGTGATTGTTCAAAAATATATAGTAGAATAATAATATAATGTTTGTAACATCTTGTTCCTGCAACTTACAACCACCCACTGAAGCTAAGAGGGTGTGAGCCTGGCCAGTACCTGTATGGGAGACCTAGGAATGCTGAGGTTACTGCTGGAAGAGCTTTTAGTAGGGCCAGTAGGGGGCACTTGCCCAGTTATATGTGTGGGTCCTAATGCCCCACTATAGTAATGGGGACACTATACTGAAAAAAAGGTGCTGTCCTGTGGATGACATGTAAAACTGAGGTCCTGACTCTCTGTGGTCATTAAAAATCCCAGTGACTTTCTTGAAAAGAGTAGAGGTGTTTACCCTGGTGTTGTGGCCACATTTCCCCCTGTCCTTTAACAATCATGGCCTCCTAATAATCCCCATCTTTGATTTGGCTTCATCACTCTGTTCTCCTCCCACTGCTAGCTGATGTGTGTTGAGTGTATTAGTGCACTTTGGCTGCCATCACGTCGTCCAGGTGGGGCTACACATGGGGACTCCATTGCTTTTAAAGCCCTTTGAAGGGAGTATCCAGAAAAGTGCTATGTAAGTGTAAGGAATTATTATTATAATTCAGGTGAGTACAGACACCTGAAGGGTCCACACACCTGAAGAAGGCTCCACGGCCGAAACGTTGTGTTTTCTTTCTTCTCTGTTCAGCATAGGATAAATCTATTACTAGATCCATTATTATAATTCTTCAGTTAGCGAATAAGTAGACTTTGCTTTTCTCCCACTCTCTCAATGAGAAGAAAAGGAGTCCTGTTGTTTAATTTCCAAACGTTCAGTCAACCTGTCCGATTTCCATCTGGCAATGTTTTCGCACTCTCAGTCTGATCTTCGAATGCCCAGCAGGGCTCCCTTTGGTCAGTACTGGGACGAGACACCAGTGTGGAAAATCAGGTTCCTGGAAGTGGTGCTGGTGGGCCAGTAGATGGTGCCTTTCCCTCTCTAATTCTGCTCTCTATAAAAATCCATTCTGGGCCTGGACAATCTGGCCTCTCACATTGTCCCATTTAGTTCAATAAGGTGAAGTCATTTCTCTAGCTTTTCAACCTGATGTACTATGCAGAGGAGCTTTTACTACACCCGGCTGCAGCAAATCACCCTACTGAGTGCTGGATAAAATGGGTACAGTCCTATACAGCTGGGACTTGCTTCAGGGTTAATAATAATAATAATAATAATAATAATAATAATAATAATAATAATAATAATAATAATAATAATAATAATAATAATAATAATAATGTGACTATTCCATTATTGTACGGGGTTGTCTTACAGGGCAAATCTTCACAAACTGCTGATTTAAATGTGACCGGCTGAGTTGTCTGGCCCTGTTATATGATATTTAAAGTGAGATCAAAGTTACTTTTTAACTGGATGAAAACAGTTTAAATAAACTGCACTCCTCCCCACAAAAGGCAGGATCTAACATGGGGATTTATAACTTTTTTTTTAGTTAAAAGGTTTGTGTTTACCGCTGCAGACTTTGTCAGAGCAGGGCAGCATTCCAGGCATGTGTTAAAAGACACCGCCCCCTGCTCAGCCTTCACTCACTCGGTCTCATTCATTCAGAGAACCGAGGAGAGTGGTCTGGACATCTTAGGAAGTAGACGCTGGTTTGAATTGTAAGTTGAGAGAAATATAAAACCTGCAAGTTAATTTCCTCGATAGGTCCATCCTGGGAATGATACACCGACTACAACAGAAGACTCCCTGGGCTGTTGAAGTGGCTTTTTAAAGATTTAAAAAGCTTGTGGAAGATCATTCAGCACATCATTCAGACTGAAACAGCACAGACTGACAATTCTGAACTTGCCACTTCACCAGATGGAGAACAGCCAATGTCAGGATCCTAAAGAAGACAATGCTTTTCTCTGGTAAGATCTTTTACAGTTTCTTCAAACTAAGATAAAAAGATTTTAGAAATTACTGTAAAAATTCATAAAAAGATAGTTAATCCATAGCCAAAACAACAGCAGGCAATGCAAATCACAGGGTTCAATCCTGCTGTTATATACATTTTCTTCTTATTCTCCTTTCAGATGTAACCACTTTGGTAACCACTTTTATGAGCTAAAATGTTTTTGGATTTCTACTGTACGTTCATGAATACCTTCCAAGTGTGTTGACATCAGTGTTCATGTAGCTTTTCTCCAAATGTTAGAATAATAAAATATCAAATATCAGCACAGAGTCAAGCATGTTTTCTGAAGCCCAGAAAGTGGAGGAAGTGCATCAGACCATCAGGAAGTAGGGGATAAAGTAAAACAGAAGGTTTAAAGTGAAGTGCGTTTGAGTTTAAGTTGTGCTTGTGTTAAAGTGGAGTATTTTCTGTGTGGAGAATCTAGCAATGTACTGAAATGTTGTGTGACCAACCCTCAAAACCCTCAAGATTTACTGCTACCGCACACACAAGTCAAATCAAGCTCAAAGCTCTTGTAAAGCACAACCTCTCAAATGAATTATTATTCCATTACATTTGTGACTGTCCACCCATTTTCTAACTGCTTCAACCAGTACAAGGTTGTGGGGGAGCTGGAGCCTATCCCAGAAAACAAGGGGCACCAGGCAGGATACATGCTGAGCAGGATGCCAGTCCATCACAGGGCATGGATACAGACACAGACACAAAAACTAGGGTCAGTTTACTTACCAGCATGTCTTCTGACTGTGGGAGGAAGCCAGAGCATCTGGAGAAAAGCCACACAAAAGCGGGGGAGAACATACAAACTCCACACAGACAGCACCCCAGGAATTGAACCCAAGGCCCAGGCGCTGCGAGGCAGCAAGGCTAACCCCTGCACCACTGTGCCGCCCACATTTATGGCGATTTTAGCATTAATGTCCATTCCTGCTCTCAGTCCATCTTGTGTCTTTTCTTAGCTTTCAGAGAACACCTTCCCTTCGCCGGAAATGGAGGAAGAGATATGGAGGCTTAGATGGCAATAAATTATTGGAGCCAAATGAGGAAGACGACATCCAAGGCACGTTGCACATATTTCTGTGTTGTGTTTTAAGAATTTAGGAACAAGTAAATGTTTATTCCATCCTGAAAAGAGAATAAAAGAAACACAACGTTTTGGCTGTGAAGCCTTCTTCGGGTGTGAGAAAGAGAGGAAAGTTGGTCTTTGTTTTTTTGCCGCAGCTACCCACTTGAGCTACTTTTCATAATTTAGTTGTTACTGTTTAGGGTTATGCTATACACGTTGTTCCACCCCAATCTCTAATCAATGACAGTTAATAATATGACCAAAAGTGCTATTTGTTTTACATTCTAAAATGGACCATCATTAATATTTTAATATGAATTATTCTAGATGATGTACTGTATCTGTATCTGAAATCCTATTTTCTAAGAAGTGCTAGTTTGTAAAGTAGACAGTAACTTCACATTCACTTTTAGCTGAGTACTTTTAACCTGACCCTGACTGATGGTCACCAGTCGAGTGGGAGCTGCTGTACAAGTGTGCATACTTACTGTAACATGTCCGTGCGGTGAAGTCCTCTCGTTTGTGTAGTTGTGCAGAACTGTGTCTCGCGTCCTCCCAGTAAAAGTGCCAATATTAAGACATTGTTTCTCAGGAGTGCTTTATCTTCTCAAAGCATCAACGTTACAAGTTTGCACATGTTACACACTGCTGGTTACTTAGAGCTTTGTAGCACTTTTCACCATAGTTTCAAAGGAAGTGACTTCTGCGTTCTCTCCTGTGCGCTGCTGAGCTGCAGGTGAAACCAAGTTATTTGAGAGACTGACTTCAGACTCCTAGATGCACGGAGCATGTTAGCCACATGCCTGTGTTTCTCACCCCAATGGACTACTCTGAAAAAATGTATTTTTCTCAATTCTAACTGGCAAAGAAATATTACAGCAGTGAATTTTCAAATGCATGTTTACCATCTGCAGAGCCATGTAACAATGTAGCTGCGACATATTTCTGATAACCATTGAGTTGAGTCCCTTTCAGTCACTGCTGCACAGCTAAACTGGCCTTTTAGTATTGTTTTTGTTCATGTGGTACAGTAAATTAGTACTTTCAAAGTGCGTAGTGCTCAATTTTGCACAACTTAAAAGTTAAAAATAAAACCATTTAATGTCTGAAAATGTTGTTCGCGGACAGCCTGTGCAAGACTTGTGAGCCTCTGTACAGGGAGTGTCATTTGGTGGGGTTTTTCGACAAATAGTTTTTTTATGATCTTAAAAATGGCAACTGGATAATGCAGCTAGCTGTAGGGAAATCAGCTTCTTCCACTCTCTTTTATTGTCTTGTTTTGATTTTTTTTTCAGTTTTGTGTATAAAAGTCTCTTTTTTATGTTTCAGAAAACGGCCTAATGAAAGAGCCCTATCAGGAAAGGAATTCTCCTCTGACAAGGAGTGCAGAGAATCAGGTACAAGCTCAGTCCTGTCAGGAGCCCACAACACTGCAAAGAGCAGATGTTAAAATTCTTTAGACAGATAAAATTGTCACTCTCCCGTGCACACACACAAACACATTGGAGAGGATTGCTAACCTAAGCACCTCTAAAAGTGAACAAATAAGCTTTTACACCTACACACATTCATACATTGGAGAATAATTTCATACTGAACCTTACTGGAGACTGGCCAGTGCATAACCTGCCTGAGGAAATGTCGAATAAAATCTTTGAACTTTTAAAAGGAGACACAGGGCTTTGGAACCAGGAGATCAAGTTACAGCCCTGATGAGGTGCAATAAACAATGCTTTATGGTTTCAGAAGCAAAGAAAAAGCGTGCTTTAAAACTACGTCTGCAACAAGATGCAGGAGAGAGTTAGTCAAGAGGAAAGTGCAGACTCACAGGATCCTGCAATAAGGGTGTAGAGAGTCAGGCTGTGGATAGCATCCCTGTGCAGAAAAGCAGCATGTTGAGGGATCAGACAAAATTCCACAAGTATTAACAGTGCATTCCCCTGTGGCTTTGTGGCTTATGTCAGCTTTACTGTGTGCATGGGTTTTCTTGTTCAGTGCCATGTAAATTTTACTACATAAGTTGCCAGCTGTATTTCTAAGTGGTTGCATAGGATAGTGGGTAAGCTTTTGTGGTTATAACAGGTAGGTTGTGGGTCTCAGTCCTCACTCCAGATACTGCTGTTGTATTTTGAGTGAGATATTGTGCCCCAGACCACCCAGCTGTATAAGTGGGTTAATCCCTGTGATGGACCAGCGTCCCTTCTAGGGAGGTATTATGTGCCCTCCAGCCTCCTTAACACCACAGAAGCCAGGACGAGCTCTGGCCTGATGAGCCCCTGTGGCTGGGGCAGGGACATGATATTTTACTTTATCCTCAGCTCACAGTTAATTTACAGCAGAAACTTTACACTGGCCTGTAAACTCCGACATACTGTACAGATCATTTATGCCAGTGGCTTTTGTAGTCGTAAGATTTCTATTTTTTAAATGCTAAAGAATGTCTACCTTAGAAACTTACAACTTTTTTACAAAAGAAATTGTAATGTATTTTCAAACATTTGCTAGCCAAATCTTTTAATGTTTTACACTGTTTTAGCTGTGTTCATTTTTCAGCTAAACACACTTTTGTAAATTATAATAATTAATAATTCTTTTGGACCACTTCTTATCCCAGAGATTCTGGCCCTGGGTGAGTGACTCAGCAGCCTAAGCAACTCCATCACACAGAAGTGAGAGATTATGTCATCATCTGAATTATGGAGGAACTGAAGAGAGGCTAGTTTATTCAAGCCTGGAATGCCATTTAGACAGGTCACCAGGGCTTAACAGCCCTACAATTATGGACAGTGTCCCGGGTCTGTAAAGTATTTAGAACTCAATGTTAGTGTCTCGTAAGACAACAGCCCCCCCCCCCCAGTACAGGCTCCCTGGGCACCACACTGAGGCACTGGCTTGCTGTCGGGTGGAACGCAGGTCTCCAGCTCTTCCCACATGCATAGATTCGGAGAGTAATTTCTAAACAACCCCAAATCGAAAATGTTTTATTATTGCCGTTCTGACACCTCTTATTTCCATAGGAGACTCCCACTATGATGAACCTAGGATGTCCTGTGTTAAGAACCACTTTCCAGTCCCAGAAACCAGCCAGCTTTGTGACTGCTGGACCAGCAGGTGAATGTGTGCAGGCAGCGATGGGGGAATTCTGCGGCCTGGCTGCTGTAAACTTTCCACGTTTCCTTACACACCTCTGAGGGCATGAAAAACAGACGCTCACTTTGAACACACAGCAGCACATCCTTTGCATCCTATTATTTAAGATTTGTCACAGATCCTAGTCTGATGCTTATAAAAATTTCGGTGAATGGATTAGTATAAAACACTTTCGTAGAAATATAAATTACATTTCACAATTGTGGCACTGTGTTAGGTACATGGAAATAATCCCATCTTTATGCAAACAGAAGGCAGACATCTGTTCACAACTGATTTATCTTTTTGTGAGAATTTAGTGAAGTATATATTACTGCTAAACTGCCTTCTTTCATATACAGTATAACCTCTGCTTATGCTGTTATATTGTATTTTCAGATTTTCCATGGTTCCATTTTCCATTTTCACTATACTTTGCCATTGTTTCATGAATTGTTTAAGGCTTTACTTTTGCCATTTCAATGTTTTTATTGTGTTTTAGTGCATCTTAGTCTGCTTTTACTACAATGTACCATAGTAATCCTTAGTGAGGGCAGTATGATCAGGAAATTGCACAATTCTTGAGAACTGGATGTAGGAGGATATAGAAGGGCAGATGAGCACCGAGTTTAGATAAATGTCCTAAAGCTGCAGCACCATTTAACTGTAGACTGAACAACACTGCCAGTTAAATTACATGTAGTCACATACATAGTGAAGTACTGGCAAGGACCCACGAATACACATTGTTTGGAGGCAGTAGCTATTTTTTTTCCAGGCCTGTTATTAAATGGTCACTATGGAAACAGCAGCTGGAATGTCTTATTACTGAACCCTTCCTTCCCTTCCTGTAGCGCTTCTTAGGCTTAGGAGAGTTAGCAATCCCTTCGTACTTGTCAGGAGTTTGTAATGTTCTTTAAAAATGACAGCTAAATATATATCTTTTATTCACACATTGTCACTACAGCAAGAAAGAAAACTGCAGCTCATAATAACCTCGTCAAAAATATGATTGACTTGCTGCATCTCATTTCCATATGTGTGTGTGCATGCACGTGTGATTGAGGTGAAAGCATGCAGCGTGCAGGGGCTGCACAATTATCGCTGTGGGAGAACCCCTTTCAATTGAAAAAAGTTTGTTTTATTTCCTGCCACGGGGGCAGACGTGCAGCACAAGTCCGTCTTTGATCTGCTTCAGCAAGCTGCTTTCTCAGAGGAGGGGCCAGGCTTTTAGAAACTGCAGACGAGACCCTCCAACACTCCCAAAACACCCCAAAAGTCGTAGGGGAATATAAGAACATGGATATAATAACTTCTAATGTAATAATGCATATAATAACGTATAATACATGCATATGCAGTAATTTATACATATAATAATACCCCAAAAGTTATTTTAAGTTTTCTTCAAAGGGATTTAATAACGTGCATATGGGTTGTATGGCTGAGGGATCTAATGTGCGGGATTTTTGGCTGTAGTCTTTCTGGAGGCTGGGCTTGAGTCCCACCACTGCCATTTATGCCAAAACTAATTCAAGACTATTTTCAGTTATACATCTAAAATCATTTTATACATCCAAAATCTATCTCTTCTAGACAATTGGCCTAGATGAGCTGAAAGGCCTCCTCCTGGTTGTGACTGTTCTTATGTGGTTACGGAGTGAAAATGTATTTAAATCTGTTTATGCTGCTTGCAATCAACAGTGGGTGAGGTACTGAACTTCTATCACAAAACCTTTTTTCCCGCTGAAAGTCACATCTGTAACCTATCAGCGGCCAAACGTCTGTAATGGTGCTTACTGGTTTCCGTTTAACGCCATATGAAAGGTTTCGTGTTATTAAAAAATGGGACAAATGAGTAAAAGGCACTGACTCCTGCTGCGGTTTGATGTGCAGGAGCCTCGGCCTACATCAGCAATGAGAGCCAGAAGTCTTTAGCTCCCCAGGGAGGGCAGGCGCGCAGCTGCAGTCCTCTGAGGCAGAGCGTCAGGAGGCTCGACGGCCAGCAGGCACACACCAGAAAGAAAGTGTAAGTCCTCTAATGACACCGCCAGGTGAGAACAGGATGAATCTAGGAGGGAGAAAACACTACATAAGCGCTTCAGCTCCCATGTTAGGAATCGGGCAAACCAGGAACACTTATAATTACTTTAGAATTCACTGGGCTCAAACTCAGTAAACCACATAATCATGCTAAAAATGCAACTTGTTTCTTTAATGAGCAATTAAGCTGGAAAGCACTTAGTGAAATGATAATTAATCTGTTTCACTTGTACTCAAGGAATCGTAAAAATGCCCTTGCCGAGCTATGAAATGATGGTTTTAAGATATTTTCAGAATGTTTCATGAAAGGCAGAGGTACGTTCAGGCATGACTTCTCCTTTTGTATTTGCTGTATATACATTAAGGCAATGTAATGCATGCTCTGCATTAGTAGTGATAATCCAAATTCAGAGGTTTGCCTGAAAATACATTCCTTATCTGAAAGTTACTTTTTTTCTGGAAAGAATCACAGCAACCCGTAAGCACAAGCTCAGTTCACTGCAAGGAGTGCATCAATTTACACAAAAAATGATGAACCTACAGTATTTAGCATGGGTGGAATATGTAAGAACAGGCACAATTGAAGGGAGAACATGCAAACTCCACATAGAAGCACCCCTGTCTGGAAACAAATGCAGGACACAAGAGCTGGGACTCTTCACTAATTACCAGGCCCCCACACCAACTAGAAAGTTCATCAGCTTAATTTCAATATAATTTCTTCCTGGTCCCCTAAAAAAAGAAGCTCCCCAATTTTGTAATCACAAAATGAAGTTTGTTTTTTTTTTCACCAGGGCAGCAGATGTCTTATTTGAAAGTTTTGCCTCAGAAGGAAGAGTGAACATGACTCAGTTTTTTGAGGTACAATCTTTCTTTTGTTTTTAACATGCATCCATCTTCTCAATGCTTTAGCACCCCAAAACAGGGCTGCGGAGGCATCCAAGCAACGGGCCCCAGTGTTGCAAGACAGCAAAGCTAACCAATGTGCCACCATGCCATATATCCTGTTGCCAGCGTTTTCTTCCTGAAAGTGAAATAATCCATTTATACAAATCATACTGTGCCCATTCTCCACACCTCTGCAGACAGTGTGGAGCTCTGGAATTCGGAAAACAGACCCCCGGATTAAGGACTGTTACTTACTAATGCGGAAGCTTCAGGAGGCAGATGGCACCGTGGACAGAAACAACTTCCACAGGTTAGTGAGCTGGGCTGGAAAATTCTAGAAGAAAAGGGGGGTTTGGCATAATCCAAACGGGCAAAAATTAACTTTGCTGTTTATCTTTTCCAATGTTTTGCCTTCACAAGGAAGAGGAGCAGCTTTTGAAAGTCTCCAGGTAAATTTGTTGCTTCAGTTTAGTGCCATCTGACTGTGGCAGCCATTTGTGTGGGCAGACTGGTACAGTTGTCTCAAGCCAGCCATTATCACAACAAGCAGCAATTTAAACGGATAGCACCTTAATAAAAACTACTTGTCCAGGCTCACTGGAATGTAAATGCAGGTTGCATAGTCTTAGAATTGAGAACATTTATTGCACATTATACTAATGCAATGCTGTTGTTATTCTTTTGACAAGTACGTACATAAATGGAGAGATACGCACTGTACACACTGAACAGATGCACTAACAGATAGAGATAAAGATTCACCCCGAGTTTGTTTCATAATATGGCCCTTAATATTGTAACGCGTACGGCCTCCATTGCTTGCAAGAGCTGGCTTACCAGAGCAGTGACCTCACCGCCCTTCCCTGTGAATAGCAGGGGCCGCAGCCGCTGGGCCGAACGGGAGATTTCCCTTTGGCTCAAGAGGCTGGGTCCCTGTTGAGTGATGCCGGAGGCCTGGGTTTGAGACCCTGATGGTAGGGGGCTGACCTGATGCGGCGGCGGTGAGGGTGCCCATGTGGAACCCTGAAGCGTTACAATATGTTCACATAGCTGACAGTTAGGCATTCTTTAAACTTGAATAAACAAATTATAAAAGTAGACAGGGAATGCAGTGCATTTATTAAGAGTCTGGAGCTGTTTTTGCTTGGCTGGAAAAAAGCGTTTATGCTTATTTATAAATTGCAGAGTTTGTAGTTTTGCACAATTAAAGGATTCAAATGTTTCTGCTAATGGTAAACAAATCAAAGTATATAAGCAAGTTCACGCAATATCTCTATAAAACAAGTGTGGGCGTAAGCTTGTAAGCTTATTTATTTTGATGACTCAATTTTTTAAGGGTTCAGTCGTCATGTTGGGAGAGTAGAGACTGTACACTGAAAATACAGACTGCAACCCAGGATCTCAGCCCTGCCCTTTGTGTGATTTTCGTAATATTCAATCTTCTGCTATGAACAAGCAGTTTGCTCATTATATCCCCATATGCAAAACGAGGTATACGCTCTTTTGAAGGGGTTGGAGAGTGTTTCAATATGTGTGATTTTGAATTAAAATCAAGAACCACTCGGATTGTGGAATAGCCAATTTTCCCATCTTGGCTCGAAGCAAAGAAACCCATAACTGCACGCTGGAGGGAGAGTGATGAACTGAGTGCGACTCTTCCGGCCTGCCCTTTCAGTCTGATGCAGGCGCGCCGCTGGGAGTTCAGTCCTCCAGCGACTGCACTGCAGGCACCCAGGAGGTCGCAGGGGGGCGCTGTGAGAGAGTCCTGGCCGATTGATTGCACCCTACCCTGAAACAGAGCTCAGACGCCTGTCGCTGCTTGAGCAATCCTGGTCATATTCGCATCTCTGATCATAGGCCATAGTCTGCGTTCACAAAAACAAAATGATTGACAGATGTGTTGTTTGTGTTTGCAGGTGTGTGACCGGCTTTGTGTCTTTCATTCTGAAAGCTCTGCAGGGAAGGTTTATCATTCCTGATTTTGGCACATTCACTGAAGAAACCCAGAAGATTTTCCTGAAGTGCAAACAGCTGGATTCTATCAAGGTGCACTTTCAGACAGAAGAAAGTACTTCAGTCAGGTCCAAAAATAATATTGTATTTGGATGTCCCCAAAAACTGTCCTACTTAGGAACAAAACCAGGTGCTTTACTGACGCCTAAAATTTTACTATGTTTTTTTAGAATGGAAGAAGTGAGTGAACCATAGGAATATCCCTATTTCCTGAATGGAAAATAATAATTTATAATAATTATAAGGACCCTGTTTCTGTGTTAATTTATTATAGCTTGTCATCAGTGTGATGGAAAATCACAGTCTGAAAGTGCTTCCTTTGTGCTTACTTGTAGCTGGAGCAGAATGCTGTAACCGAAGACAGAGGGAAATGGGGAGTCTCTATTTGTACAATAGATGGACAAAGGTATTATTATTGTGTGGTACAAAAAGAGCAATTTAAGAAGTTTAAATGTCTTCCCTGAAAGTAAGATCCTGTAGCGGCTTATTATTTTATGAATAATGATTTAAAAATGGTGCAGGTCGGTGGCACATTGGTTAGCATGGCTGCCTTGCAGTGATGGGTTCCCTGGGTTCAGATCTGCATCTGGGATGTTCTCTGCATTGGGTACGTGTGTGTGTGTGTGTGTGTGTGTGTGTGTGT